CTCTGCAATGTATTAGTTCACTTCTTAAAAAACATTTCTAGTCAGGGTGATGTGCATTTATTCATTAATACACTGTAACTTGAGGGACGGCCTAAAAATAAATAAAACACGTTGTTGGTTGACACTTACTGTTTGCGTACGGTCTGCCATGTCTTCTCTTCAACGGATATACTTGCAGAAGTTCAAGTGGATTCAAAATTCATGTAGTAGGCGTGTCGGGTAGTGACGTCACTACCCGACACGCCTACTACTCGACACGCCTCCGTACTGCAAGCCGCAGACAGACCCTTCTCGTCTGTCTGCGATATTTGTGTTTCTGAGTGTGCACAAATGGATGTTTATGTCTGCTTTCAGTTGCATCCGACTATTGTCAGTGATGGGAATCATGCTCCAGTGCTGAAGCAGGGGAACACGCTCACGTGTGTAACCTGTTTTAAACATGGCGGAGAAGCACAAATGCTCACACACGTGCAAACCCATGAAAGGGCATCTGTTTGTCATGGAGGTATGTTTTAACTTCGAATCCAGGTGTTGTGCAATATTGTACATTTGTTCTTTAAAGTGATTGTCTAGAGCAGTGTCTCCCAAAGTGGGGTCCGCGGCCCCCTGGTGGGCCGCGAGGGTACTGCAGGGGGGCCGCGGGAGGTCATAAAAAAAATAAAAAAATAATATAATTATTTAATGTTAAATTTATAATGTTTTGTTTGTAATATTAAAATATTTGTGTTCATTATTTGACTTGAATAATCCACTGTAATCATTTTTGTATTACAATGTTTGTAGCAGAGGCTATTTCCCCAAAATAAAATAACCAGAAGAGCCTATTCTTAATGTTGTCTTCTTGGTTATTATTTTGGGGGGCCACGCAGACCCGACAGATTTTTAAGGGGGCCTCGGTGTTACTGAGTTTGGGAATGGCTGGTCTAGAGTTTGTCAGAAAGAGAGACAGAGAGGTACTTGATTTGAAAAAAAAACAACCCAAGCTCCCTCCCCCTTCCTTTCTGATTGGTCTACACGCTCTTACCGGAAGTATAGCATGCGCCTCGCTCAGTCTTTGTCTAGCGTCTGAGGAGGTGGGTCACGTTTTTACACTCTGCATGATTTCGGTTTTAAATGTTATTTATGTTGTTACAAATGCAAATGTACAAGTCAGAGCCTTTTGAATCCATGTTTTAAGTCTGTAGTTTACAGTGATGGGCAGTAGCGACGCTACTAGCTTAACTCGCTACGTTTTTCAGTAGCTTGAGGGTAGCTTCACTATTTACAAATCCAAGTAACTTTTCTGTAGCTAAGCTATTTTTTTGAGCAAGTAGCGCGGTAGGGTCCTCCAAAGCTGTTTTCTCACGGACATTTCTGATGTTCATATACTACAGCATTTTCCCGCTGCCAAAAACAAAGTAGGAAGACGGAATGTTTAAGTGTGCAGGCCTTAAGCCTAGTGTTTCTACTGTAGGTTTATGTGATAGTTTTATGGATTCATTATTTTATAAGTCATTTCAACTGTGATGCTGTGAATAAAGACACAGTTCTGTTGGAAACATAGTTATTATTAAATAGTTTTCAGCACAAACAGCAAAACAATAATAGTGGTAAATATCTGAGACAAACATGAACGATTTACGAGTGTATATATGTTAGATATAAGTTATATATATGTTAGATATAAGTTATATATATGTTATATATGTTAGATATAAGTTATATATGTTAGATATAAGTTATATATATGTTAGATATAAGTTATATATAGATATAAGTTATATATATGTTAGATATAAGTTATATATATGTTAGATATAAGTTATATATATGTTAGATATAAGTTATATATATGTTAGATAGTCCACAGTCTCCTGTATATCAGGCTCTGAGCCCAAACTGCTTTTCCTTCGAAGCACAAAGCTCTCTGCTCCATAGTGCCTCGTCCATGCTCCTGCTGCAGCCGCTCCGTGCTTCCTTCCAATACACACACACGGACCAATCACAGCGGAGCTTCCTTGCGGCGACCCTTACGTAGTTAGAAAATTTTGATGCTGCGCGGCAGGCGACGTAAGGGCCTTGCGGTGACCAACGCGTTGCGCAAGTGACGTCACGTCACCTCCGTGCCGCGCGAGTATAAACTAGGCTTAACGCCTGTTTCACACCGCACGCCGAGCGCCCTTTCCAGCCGAACTACCTCGCGGCGAGCGCATGTATTCAGACTGACGCCGAGCGTGGGCGAAGCGCCTAGACGAGTAGCACGCACAAAAGGAGTAGTATTGTACTCCAAACTAATAAACATGTTGTATATTTACATATGTTTGATGAAATAACAGGTCAGAAATCAAAATAGCACATGTAGACCTTAAATAAATTGCTAACATTTCCTTATAATGTATCTTATAGCCTATTTTGATTGTCGTTTCATTATCATAGTGTGGTGTTGTTTTTTGTGTATTGGACCTGCCCATGTCTTGAATGTAAAACCCTCGTCACTCCCCCTCCCCCAAAACAGAACAGGTTTAACCTTTGGCCAGAAGCCTAGTCCTTTATGCTGTAGACTTCTTTGACTCGACACGTACTTCTTCTGTAACGTCTTTTACAAGAAACTACCGCAAAATGGGTAAGTTTGGGTCTTAAACCGTAAATCCATTATGTGTTTTTATAGTATACTGATTTATTTTTGTTTACGGTATTATACACTATTACAGATCGTGTTTTTGACCGAAGAAAGGCCTTGGCCCTGTTTCTTTTGTTGAGACTACGCAGAAGACAAAACCTGAGATTGTGGATTCATCCCATAAATCAGAACAGGAGACAATTTGGAGCATACCACCATCTTGTGGCAGAGCTGCAATTGCATCCAGATAAACATTTTACATACTTTAGAATGTCTGCTCTCCAAATGGAGGGTCTACTGTCCATTATTGGTCCCACAATTAGGCGTGAGGACACAAATTACAGGAAGAGCATCTCCCCCAAGCAAAGACTGGCAGTAACAATCAGGTAAGAATGAACAATAAACATTTATTGTTGTAATAAAATTGGGGTGAACATTATAATAAGAATAAACTTCAGCTGCACAATTACAGCACAATGCAAACACTTGTAACATCTGTTTACTCCCCCCAAAAAACAATATTTTAAATTAACAAATGTACATGTAAGACCAGCTTACACTAAACACATCACAAATAAACTAACAAAAATATAGATAGTATTTTCGTTAAATTATGTGTGGTTGGTTTAGTAAAAAGAAATAACAAGGCTCACAAATTAAATAAAAATGATGATTGAAATGTTTGAAATAATAACTTTGTTTGTAACATGTGGAAGAAAACTTTGAAAAAGCACCAACACATTCACTTTAATAATCATCCTCGATATTGGGATCATTAAAGGAGCAATATGTAAAAATCTGGCCAAAAGTGGTACTGCAGTCACAGTCAATATTTTGTAGTCCTCTTCCACTCTCCCTGACTCAGGTTGCCAGATTCACACCAAATCCAGCAGCAAACACAGGGAATTATTTTATCAGTTGTTTGTCCGTCTCCATTCACATTGCCATGACAGCCGTGCTAATGCTGAATGAATGTTTTGATTAATGTTTTTTTATTATTATTATTTGGACATTTGAGATAAAAAACAAAAACAAAATAAAAGCAATGTAATTATACATAGTTTATGCAAAATAAATAAGCAATTGATGTCCAAAATAGGAGTGGGAAGAATGGATGTTGGAACGTATTTCTTCAGCGTATCAACATCAGGGTTTGCTCAAGAGGATATCACCTTTCAATTTTATTTATTCCCTATTTTTTAGACAAACATGTAAAAGTCCCACATCAAAAAGAGACTAACATTATTTTAATTGGGGTACATGTGGTCTTAAATGATTATTTTTACAATTAAGCTATAATCTGCAAAAAAAAATGTCTTGACCTTCATCTTTTACCGTTTTTAGAGCAATCTGTCATAGAATGTGATAACATGCAATAAATACATAGCCCGGGATCGAACCCGGGTCCCTGCGTCGTAAGCTCACAGTTTAGACCACTAGACCAACGATTCACACGAGCAGAGACACTGTGAAGAACGGACTCAAACTAGAAAATTTTGATCAGCTGTCTCAATTGTTCAAAGGCATCCCGATATAAATCCTCGTTTTAGTCTTTGTTTTGTCATTAATGATTTGAGAGTCATAACAAGACCTTTTTTAGTTCTGCGCCACATGTTATTTTACCACTGAGATTAATGAGCCGCGCGGGGTTCTGGCAACCCGATCACGGACGTACATGACACTTCCTGATTGGCGAAACGGCGGAGGGTAGGACATCAAAATCCAAACAATAACAACTTTTACGGGTCGTAAAACTAATTTTGATAATCAAATATCTCGGCTGAACTACTGTTATCAGTTAAAGATGTATTCGAAAAGAGTATGATTTAATAACGCCTTTTGAAATATTCGGGTCATTTAATGATGACTTGACATGCAAATATTACATATTGCTCCTTTAAGGTTTTGGATGAAGCTCATTTGTGACTCCAATGGTGTGGATGCTGAGGGCACTGAATGTTGTGTGTGGTATTGCTCCGGTTGTCTCTGGTAAGGATGAAACCCTCTGTTTTGTGGATGTGGGTTTGCTGGTCTCCTTGCCATTTCCTCCATGTTTGTTATCACCTCAATCATTCTACTCCTTGCTAAAAGATTTAGCGATCGTGGCAGGGCATTCAAATGTGGCACCAAACTCAAAGCAAAGTGATAATTTGCCTCATCCTCAGTAGGGATACGGGGAGCAGGGCTAACAGCTGGGGCAGTGCATATGTCCAGTACCTGCTGCTCTAATGCAGAAACTGAAACCATTCTCTGTTCATCTTGCCTAGATCTTCTGTTTCTTCGTATCTGGCTTGATTGACTGTGTTGTCCCTCAGTAAGCGCCTGTACTCGTGGATGGGCTGGAGAAGTGTTTGATCTTTGAATGTTGGTTGCAGTGCTTGTTCTGTTTGCAGGTGATGTGCTAGACCGAGGGACAGGGGTGCTCTGGTGTTGTGTTGGTGTGTTTGAACGAGGGACAGGGGTGCTCTGGTGTTGTGTTGGTGTGTTTGAACGAGGGACTGATGTGCTCTGGTGTTGTGTTGGTGTGTTTGAACGAGGGACAGGGGTGCTCTGGTGTTGTGTTGGTGTGTTTGAACGAGGGACAGGGGTGCTCTGGTGTTGTGTTGGTGTGTTTGAACGAGGGACAGGGGTGCTCTGGTGTTGTGTTGGTGTGTTTGAACGAGGGACTGATGTGCTCTGGTGTTGTGTTGGTGTGTTTGAACGAGTGACTGATGTGCTCTGGTGTTGTGTTGGTGTGTTTGAACGAGGGACTGATGTGCTCTGGTGTTGTGTTGGTGTGTTTGAACGAGTGACTGATGTGCTCTGGTGTTGTGTTGGTGTGTTTGAACGAGGGACTGATGTGCTCTGGTGTTGTGTTGGTGTGTTTGAACGAGGGACTGATGTGCTCTGGTGTTGTGTTGGTGTGTTTGAACGAGGGACAGGGGTGCTCTGGTGTTGTGTTGGTGTGTTTGAACGAGGGACTGATGTGCTCTGGTGTTGTGTTGGTGTGTTTGAACGGTTGGTCTGGGTCGTCAAGTCCACACTTTGTTCATTTTGATTTGGTGTTCTTGGATTGGATTGAGGTGTCAATTCTAGAGGTTGTTCTTCCTGGTCGTCATCCGAGTCGGAATTTGACAGCTCCGCTTGACTGATAGAGCCCCTGGAACTAGATGATTGAAATAATATAAGTTACAATTTATTATTGATTTAATTTAAATAGAAGTTAATGATGTACTACATAATTATTTAAGTGTGTATTTTAAATAGTACTCGCCTTCTCGTTTTAATATGTGGAAGTAGAAAAGAGATTTGATTCCCATAGCGCCATCCAGTTCCGTCAGCTGCAGAGCCACTAGGTTTCTTTGTGTATTTCACAAAAGCATCTCTCAATTGCTTCTACCTTTTCTTGCATTCCTCAGCTGTTTAAGAAATATAGAATAATAAATACACACACATATGCAGTATTAAATTTTAACAACATAGTTATAGTTACACCACAAAAATATAGTAATTTCTATTGTTATTACATATACACTGGAATTTCAAACTGTATTAATTCAGATAGCTCAAATTATTTATTCTTTTTCAGATTTCTTGCAACTGGAGAAAGTTTTACTAGTTTGGCTTTCCAGTACAGACTAGGAGTTTCTACAGTCGCCACCATAGTCCACAATACATTGGAGGCCCTGGAAAGCCACATGCTCGGGACACAAATTCCTGTTCCAACAGAAGATATCTGGAGTACGGTTGCAGCTGGATTTTGGGAAAAGTGGAACTATCCAAACTGCATTGGAGCCATTGATGGAAAGCACATCGAGATACGTGCACCACCAAACTCAGGTAGTCTGTTCTATGACTACAAGCACCACTTTACAAGCACCACTTTTCCATCAATCTTCTGGCAGTAGTGGATGCAGACTCACGCTTCATATATATACATGTTGGGGACTACGGAGGTGCAAGTGATGGGGGGATATTTTCAACATCTCCACTGAAAAGAGGCCTGGAGGAAAATAGACTACATGTTCCAGCGCCCAGTCTTTTGCCTAACGGTGGACCAGAGGGACTCATGCCTCATGTGATCGTGGGTGATGCTGCCTTCCCCCTGAAACCATACCTGATGAGACCCTACTCAGGAATGAACCTTAGAGGTCCAAAACAAACATTTAATTACAGGTTGTCACGGGCAAGGATGGCAGTGGAGTGTGCATTTGGCATTATGGCTGGAAGGTGGAGGGTGCTGCTCACAAAGATAAACATGACACCAGAACATGTGGACACAACTGTTGTAGTTTGTTGCATCTTGCACAACTATTTAAGCAATCCATCAGACAATCGAAGATGGTTGGAGGAGTCTAACCAGGGACAAATGTGCATGCGTAGGTCAGTTGGAGAGATGGGTGGCCATAGACCAAGCCAAGAAGCTGCCTCAGTAAGACAGAGATTCACTGATTATTTCCAGTCAGCAGCAGGAGACCTCCCACATGCCGATTAAATAGGCATTATAATTACAAAAGTAAATGTTACTTGGCATTTTTAATTTGTATATAAACATAATGCCTGTATACTGTTTCTTTCTTATTCCTTTGTAGTAAACGCATATTTTAAATGCTTTCTATTTGAAACCGTAATAGCTGTATTACATTGATGTTGTTAATTTCTTCTGTTTTTTCTTTTGTATTTTCACTTACATTTTTTTGGTCACTAATAAATACATATCTTATCTATAAAACACATACTTCTTTTGTTATCAAACTTTTAAAAAAAGTTTACTTTTTGTTATTCAAAGTTAATGCTTTTAAAGTTATATTTTATTGTATATTTGCTAATTAGCGGTTTAAATAGCGTGTGCCCTCCTATCACATGAATACAATCACTTGTTTCACTGTTTTGGAGTTCGACTTTATGCATGCAATGTTGTGAACACAATACATACCGTCTAAACCTAGAATGGCTCCAATAACCTGCCAGGTTCTTTCTTTCTTTCGAATATCTTTGTAGTTTGGGTGTCCTTTACTATATAATTCGGGGAAGCCCTCCACGGCCTTGATGATGCGTATGTCATCCATCTTCACATGTGCTTTCTTTTTCGTGAAAGGAAAGAAGTCTCCGCAGTGTCACATCATGTCACGTGACACGCATACTTCTATCTCCTGGTTAATACTAAAGAAATACTAGAATAATTATAAGATTGGAATAGAACTGTTATGTCGCCTTGAAATTACAATTATATTTTATGCATAAAAAAAAAGTATGACATGGAAAATTGTGTAATTATTATTCCTCTCACACCCACTGTAGCCAGATCAAGGGTCCTATCTAACATTCATAACTTCTCCCCATACGTACCTCCAAAGCCACCTAGGGCGTCCAACTCAAATTCTCCCACAAAATCCACCCGTCCCTCAAATTCTAACTCGAATTCACCCGCAAAATCCACAGGCCCCTCCCCTAACCCCAAAACCATTCCAGCCCCACCCCCACCCCCCCCTCGTTTCCCATCACCAAGAACCCCTCCACCTCCACTCCCCCCTCGTCTATCTCCCAACTCCTGCCCCTCCCCTAACACCCATCCACCTCCAACCCCCCCTCGTCCAACACCCAAGAACCACCCACCTCTCCATCCTCCTCCCTCCTCTCCCTAGGATGCACAGGGTCTCTGCTTCGCAGCCACTGGCAGTCTAGTTAGAGGAGAGACCCGGCTGGGGCCCTGTCATGAAGCCACCTGTGCCATTCCCTTAGTGATAACACAAAGAATACATTACAGAAAGACATCTGGAGTTAATCAGTCTAATCTGGAAAATCTAATTCTTGTTCCGTGTAAGAATCAGCCGACCACAACCGCTGATACTGAAACTTTGAAACTTGCTATGCTAAATGTCAGATCTCTTTCTAACAAGTCTTTTTTAATCAATAATTTTATTTGTTCTCATAATCTTGATCTTATGTTCATGGCTGAAACATGGCTTGACCAAAATACAGAAAATGCAGTTTTAATAGAAGCATCACCACCAAATTTCAAATTTGAATCTGAAATACGGGAAAACAAAAAAGGAGGAGGCTTAGCTGCCATTTTCAGAGACCACTTTGTCTCCCATAGAATGTCTCTTGGGAAGTTTCCGTCTTTTGAATATGTGTCTTTTAAAATACAACAAAAACAATCTCCTCCAATACTCTTCATAGTCCTATACAAGCCACCGCAGTCATGTCACAGTTTTATTGATAATTTTACCGAGTTGCTTTCAGTTGTATGCACAGATTTTGATAGTTTAGTTATTACAGGTGATTTTAATATTCATGTGGATAATGTTGATGACAGAAATGCAAAAGAGCTGAGTTCTTTACTTGATACCTTTGGTCTCACTCAGCATGTGAGTGGCCCCACCCACAGCAGAGGGCACACTCTAGATCTGTTAGTTACTAAGGGGGTGAATATTTCAAATATAAGCGTGGACGATGTTGCTCTTTCGGATCATTTCTGTGTATTTTTTGACATGTGTTTCACTAACAAACCACCAGTGGACTCTGCAACTGTTCGAAGAAGACACATAAATGAAAATACGAGTGAACTATTTATGGGAATGATAAACTTTGAAAATGCATCGTATTCTACTGTAGATGAACTGTTTAACTCTGTCACCTCTAGTGTTTTGAATGTTCTGGATACCGTTGCCCCTGTGAAGGTTAAAATAGTGAAAAAATAAGCAGAAGGCGCCGTGGGCTAAAGCAGACTCGGTCAGGGCACAAAAGAGAAAGTGCCGGAGGGCCGAGCGGAAGTGGCGCAAGTCCAACCTCCAGGTTGATTACAAGATCTTCAAAGATAAGTTGTGCGAGTTTAACCGGGTGCTACGTAGTACGAGAGAAAGGTATTTTTCTGAAATGATTGAAGGCTGCAGCAACAATCTGCGTGTTCTGTTCTCAACAGTTAATAGATTAACAAACCCCCCTGTTCAAATGCCATTAGAGCTTACTTCCAAACGTAAATGCAATGAGTTTGCTAATTTTTTCAATGACAAGGTTCAAGGCATCAAAAACGCCATTGTCTCCAATCCACAGATAACCATCCAACAGCCAGAAAGGCTCTCTGAGCTAACTCACTTTGCACCTGTAGATGATTAAAATGTCCAAGAAATAATCTCCAGTTTGAGCTCCTCCACATGCAGCCTGGATGTACTACCCACTAGATTTCTGAAGTCTGTTCTGAGCAGTCTGTTACCTTCACTCACACAGATAGTAAACATGTCCCTTCATTCTGGAATATTCCCAAAGGCCCTGAAAACTGCAGTCATCAGGCCCCTGCTAAAAAAGAGCAGCCTGGATGCTACGGTACTTAACAACTATCGTCCCATCTCAAATCTGCCATTTATGGGGAAAGTCCTTGAAAAAGTTGTCTACCTACAGCTTACTAGATTTCTTATAATTAACAACTCATTTGATATGTTTCAGTCCGGCTTTAGACCCCACCACAGCACTGAGACTGCTCTTGTCAAGGTTACAAACGATATCCGGCTGAACACTGACGCAGGCAAAGTCTCAATCTTAATCTTGTTAGATCTGAGTGCTGCCTTTGACACCGTCGACCATGAGATCCTCTTACAGAGACTAGAGGACTGGGTTGGCGTCGCTGGCACCGCCCTAAGTTGGTTTAGGTCTTACCTTGAAGACAGGAAGTACTTTGTGGAGATTGGAGACTGTGTCTCAGATCATATGGCCCTGACCTGTGGAGTACCACAGGGGTCGATCCTGGGACCTCTTCTGTTCAATCTCTACATGCTGCCGTTAGGTCAGTTAATACGCAGAAACAAAGTGTCCTATCACAACTATGCAGACGACACTCAGATCTATGTCTCACTGACTGCAGGAGAACATGGACCAGTGGACTCACTCCTTCACTGTATCCAACAGATCAGTGAGTGGATGCAAAACAACTTCCTTCAGCTAAACGCAGACAAAACTGAAATGATTGTCTTTGGTCCCCAGAAACAAAGAGAGAGCGTCATCTGTCACCTCCAGTCTCTCTCCCTAAAACCTTCAAACAAGGTCAGAAATCTAGGGGTAATACTGGACTCAGACTTAAATTTTAATAGCCACATCAAATCAGTAACATCAGCAGCTTTTTACCATCTAAAAAACATTGCCAGGATCAAAAACATAGTGTCTAAAGCAGACTTGGAGATTCTTATCCATGCATTTGTCTCCAGTAGGTTAGACTACTGCAATGGCCTGCTCACAGGTCTGTCCAAACAGGCTGTAAAACAGCTGCAGTACATTCAAAATGCAGCAGCTCGAGTCCTAACTAGAACCAGGAAGTACGACCACATTAGTCCAGTCCTCAGGTCTCTGCACTGGCTTCCTGTGGCTCAGAGAATAGACTTTAAAACAGCTCTGCTTGTGTACAAATCTCTCCATGGCCTCGCACCAAACTATATTAGTGACATGTTAGTTCCATATGAACCAGCCCGGACTCTGAGGAGCACAGGGACTGGACTCCTGTTAGTGTCCAGAGTCAGAACTAAACATGGGGAGGCTGCTTTTCAGATTCATGCTGCTAAAATCTGGAACAGTCTTCCTGAAGATGTGAGACAGGCCTCCTCTCTGACAATGTTTAAAACCAGGTTAAAGACGGTTCTGTTTAGCTGTGCATACAACTGAGGGATTTTATATTTTTATCTTTTTTTTTTTTTTTTTTTTTTTTTTTATGTACTGTGATTATTTATGATTTTAATGCTTTCTTGTTCTGTTCAGCACTTTGAATTGCCTTGTGTATGAATTGTGCTATACAAATAAACTTGCCTTGCCTTGCCTTGCCTTAATTAAAAGAATAAACTTATATGTACTTATGCATTACAATAATGAGATTAGATAAACGTGAAATTGCTTTATAAAAGTTATTTTTTGAATATTTTCGTGCTGAAAGCCGCTTCGCTGCGCAGCCTACACGCGGAAAAAATGCGCTCGAGTTCCATTTTTGGTTTCAGGAGCGGAGGCGGCAGCGGCGCGCGCCGATTCCCTGCGCGCCGCCTCGGCGCCGGTCTGTACACAGAAGAGCTTTCTCATTTGCACAACAGGACGCGACTTGAAGCGCAGCTTGCGAATGCACGCGAGCGGGTTTCGAAGACAAATTTGTTCACGAATTCGTGTGCGGTGTGAAATAGGCCTTAAGCCTAGTTTATACTCGCGCGGCGCGGAGCTTACGGAGGTGACGTGACGTCACTTGCACAACGCGTTGGTCACCGCAAGGCCCTTACGTTGCCTGCCGCGCAGCATCGAAATTTTCTAACTACGTAAGGGTCGCCGCAAGGAAGCTCCGCTGTGATTGGTCCGTGTGTGTGTATTGGAAGGAAGCACGGAGCGGCTGCAGCAGGAGCATGGACGAGGCACTATGGAGCAGAGAGCTTTGTGCTTCGAAGGAAAAGCAGTTTGGGCTCAGAGCCTGATATACAGGAGACTGTGGACTATCTAACATATATATAACTTAGATATAAGTTATATATATGTTATATATAACATATATAGAACTTATATCTAACATATATAGAACTTATATCTAACATATATAGAACTTATATCTAACATATATAGAACTTATAAACTGTTCCTGTCTTGTTTGAATCGTAGCTGCGTTTGTTGCTTTCCTCCTGCACTCGTAAATCGTTCATGTTTGTCTCAGATATTTACCACTATTATTGTTTTGCTGTTTGTGCTGAAAACTATTTAATAATAACTATGTTTCCAACAGAACTGTGTCTTTATTCACAGCATCACAGTTGAAATGACTTATAAAATAATTAATCCATAAAACTATCACATAAACCTACAGTAGAAACACGTGTAATGAGCTCAAACAGCTTTGTTTGTTATTGTTGTTCTGAAGAGGACAAAGTAGCAGCGTAAATGGGACCGCTCCTGTGTGATCGCCCTCATGTGGTTTGTTGTGGGATTACAACATTCTCCTCAAAACTCCGTAAGGGGAACGCGCCAGTATAACATCAATTGTGCTTACGTAGGTCCACCGCAACCGCTAACGTAAGCCACGCCGCGCAAGTATACACTAGGCTTTATGTAGTTA